GATTTGGCTCTTTCCCTTGTCGCAATAATGCCCCTTGAATTAGAATTGATATCCTACTGCCAATAACAGTTAATACGACACTGAACTCTATGAATTTACAATTATATTAATTAAGTAAAGTATCTTTATTTATGACTAGCTGTCGCCTGCGACCCCGTCCGTGCTGAATTTAAAAAAATGTACTAATGTGCCTATGTGGTCTTCCAGACTATGTTCTATATGCATGCCAATATTCATCGAGATCCGTTCAGCGGTTCTGGATATCCATCTAAACATTCGCATTTATTTTGTTAGACAAAAACAACTTAGAAATTAAAGTTACGTTTAAGGTGTGTGAGTAAGTTAATAAGTTACATTTTATAATTATCATCTTCTTAAGCTATATTTCAATTTTATTTTATCCAATTACCCATTTTATAAAATAGGAATTGCCTATTATAACTGCCAGTGTATCATGTCAATTAATATCGCATTGAATTAAGTCTAATAAGGTTCAATTTAAAAACGTCTTTATAAATAGCAATAATTTCCTAAACTCACTCTCCTACCTAAGTCTTAATTAACAATGACGTACACTGATCAACATATTAAGGTCAATTAGCCAGTTTTATTATCTTGTGTCCGACAAATCAATAAAGTACAAATTCATTATGATCGAATCGATTATGTTTTAATCGATTTTAAACGAGCCTAAATGAAACCGAATATATTTAATCTGAGAACATATTTATAAGTGTATAGTAAATTGATGAGGTGGATTTTATTAACTAGAAATTACATTTTCCGAATTTTTCCCGACTGACAGAACGTTAATTTAAAGAACATTTATTCGTTTGTATATTTAGAAATGTATTTTTGTCTAACCATCACAATCTTACCTGGTGTAGTGTAATAAAAGGTTAAACTAAGATTATTTCCGCTTTGCTAATCCTCAAGTCGCAAGTAAAATTCCTTGCGAACATACAAGAGTTTCAATTGCCTTTATTGAGTTTTATAACCGTTGCCTTACTATTTTTAGATTTAACGATCTGCTCAAGATAACAGTATTGCTGTTTTTATCTCGAGTTACTTCTTTTGAGATTTTTTATTGCGTTTCTCTTCTACGGCATACTTGTGATCTTATATTCTTTTATATGTTCAATTGTTGTTCATCATTCTAGCGCCTGTTTCAAAAACCTCCAACAAATAATATGTTGCTGAATTCAAAGCTATTTGTGAAATCAACCAACGAAACCCCTAACTTGGGTAAGCTTCAAGCAACTCTGTGGGGACCTATAGTGATAGTGAGCTGATGATGATGAATGTAATGTAATTCAATAGACCTGCGCTAACGAAAACAATTCAAAGAAGATTAAGGGGTTACTACAAATATTATATGTTGTACCAAAACACGGAATAAAGTGATTAATAGCTATTGTCTTAATGTTGATTATGTTCTTGTAGATTTCTGACAATTTACAAAGGCAATATTTCCCAAACGACCCTCTCAATATCCCTAGGGACAGTTTGGCAAACAATATCAGTTTATCACTTATATTAAGTGAGTAACTGATTATTACCCACTTACTATTCTCAGTCCGCTCACATAGACGCCGGGAAAATGTATGTTTGCTGAATGTGGGCCATCGATCTATTTTCTTTTGTCGGCTCCAGCAACGTATACTTTCGTAAATATACTAGCTCGTTTCTTATGCTCTTCTTTTATACAGTTTTCCCCTTTATTTCGTCGAAGGAGATTTGATAAGCTTTGTATGTATTCTTTATTCAATGTACCATTATGTAGATGAAGTTATGTTTTTCTGTTCTTCTTGTACTATTTCCTCTTATTTACAATTTTACTAGACATCATGTGATCGCGTACTGTTTTCAGTACAGATTCCTTGGTTATGATTATGACATCTATTTTTCATTTGGTACTAGTGGGCATTGGGCAAGCATCCAGGCTCGCTCGCCAATTTGACCGTCCGTATAACACTCACATGATCTTAGATACACTAGGACGATAGTAATTAACTATCTATATTTACGTTTTCATAATTTGTTGTGCTGTTGTCATCCTCAAATATACACTTGTCATAGTAAAGGAAATGTTTGAATGAAACTTTGTAACTTTATATGATTTGTCACTGTTAAAGTTATATTTGAACTACTCGTATATTTAGCTGTGCAGAATATCTGCAAATATATGTTTGCTTGTCTTCTTCCTTGAATCTCAGTTTTATAAAATCTTCTAATTCTATTCTATTTTTGTAAATTATTTTATTAATATTTATCAATATCTAGTCTTGTCTCGTCTTTCAAGAATAGATTAATTACAATATTAATACGCGGAATATAATGCGCATCGGTTGACCGCAGATCTTTGTCATATGTATACTATAATATGTATACTATGTATGTATGTATACTCACCGCAGCTATTGGCTCCAAGGGCATTGCCAACGTTTGCCAATACTCGCATAGGCACAAACATCTTGCTTACTCTGTACCTACTAACTAGTGTGTAACAAATTTAATGTTATTTTATAACTTGCTACCATTAACTACATTGTATACTCTATTAATTTATTTGATAGGTAATAGAAAATAAGAAATTAAAAAAGTACCCCAATGTTGCCAATCTATTTTGTTCATAAATTTCCTGACATTGTGACTGGACTACAATGTTTTTGGATGTTTAATTATGTTATTTTTGCAATTAAATTAAGTTTACTAATATTTCTTGTACCATTCCTAAGCTAACTAAGCTCTATGCTTGTGCTAGGATATGGTTTACGACAATAGTCAGATGGGATTCGAACGCCCGACCTCGTGATCGGATTCCGTATCCTTAACCATTAGGCTATTGGCGCTTCAATTGTAATAACGTCTTAAAAAGAATTGTTTCCTTTATATCATATTTACGTGATGCCGCGGCGTATCATTTTCCAGAAGCTAAACAAACAATGAAAACTCACAAGTGTCAATTATCTCTAACCCCTTTAGAAGTTTTATTTGATGTTGGCAAGACAATACGAGACGCTAAATCCCCTCGCCGGATCGTCCTCGGTAAACTGCTTTATTTTCACAATAAAAATAAAACGGTCTCGGTATTAAACCTTATTTATTTTGTGAAATAAGTTCTATTAAACAATCGGTAGAACAATCTTTTGTTAAGGTACCAGCAAATTAAGTTGCTATATTTATCAGCTTAAAATACCGCGATTAAGAAATTCTGGTAAAATAAATTCTTTGTAGAATAAGATTTCATGATAATAAATTGTAATAATTTCTTATTTATATCAAAGAAAATGTATCTAGGGCCCGCCCAATTTCTAAGAAAGGATCATAAGAAGTTCAATGTTTTCAATATCAGGAATATTTTTAACCCATAAATTGTGTAATTTTCATATCAATTATTCGTTATACGTATGAATCCGACAGTAAAGTTACTTATGCTGTTATACGAATATCATGACTGAACTTGTTTTCTACTGCTTTTGTGTTACGAGTTTTTAAAATTACGACTTTACATGTTGGCTGCAACGTTTATGTTCGATCTACCAAAAGATTTACTAAAGCATCCAGGATTTACGAGACAGTAAAAATTTATTGTGAATCGTTATATTGATAAACGATGAAAGAAAATCTGCTGAAAAAAAAAGAAAAATTCTGCCCAACTGCAGCGCAGGAAACATAGAGCTTTGTTCGTAATATTCAACAAATTAAATAAACTGATAAACAACTTTTTAACTGTCGTATTATATAGCGCAGTACGCGAACAAGCAATATACGTAGCTCGGTGCCGAGCTCCGGCGCCGAGGAAATTGGTAATTGCGATATTGCATCCTGATTTATGACGGGCTCCGCGGTGAAGGGAAACATCCTAAGAAAACCTGCGCATCTCAGAAATATTGTAATAATATTAGGTCTAGATAGTGCTTAAGCCTTTAGGCTTTACCAATATTACCAGAATGTATTATTATTATTTAATGTTCAAAAAAAAAAACATTAATTTGTACTAATCATGTTCATGCTAGTGTGGGTTAACAGAACACGACTATTAGTCAACGAATAATGTTTCAAACTCCCGAAATTAAGAATCTGTAGAACCTATGTAGCGTACAATTTCCCTTTTGCTAATAGCGGGACTTTCGTAGTTTGCTGCTTACCACCATTGTTACATATTTGTAATTACTCAAGTAAGAAAATATAGTTGAAAATAGAAAATCGTTAATACTAAAAACTATGCTTAATTTTATTAAAATCATGCTTCCATATTTTTACGTAGCTAATTTTAAAATCTTTTATGTAAATAATCCGCGATTTACCAAGACCATTCAAATTATTTTTATTAATTTGTAAATCGCATAGAGTCGTTTTCATTATTCAAGAACTATAACATTTTATAATTAAGCTGGATGATATTGATTGAACTAAAATTTCATAAATACATTTATAACTTAATATATCTGGTATAACTTTAGCTTATTATTTTATTCATTTATCTCTTTAAAATAAGCTTTATGAAATTTATTATTTTTTAGCAACAGTAATACTTTGGTTATTTTATGATTCATTGAATGTTTTCAATCAATTCAATTCAATCATGTATCCGAATGATCAGAAAACATTCATCGAATCATTTTATTGAATTGAATCATCGAATTATTATATTAAAAGTTTTAACTAATTAAAAAATAAAAATATCTAGCTTGTTCTTTGTTTGCATTAGAGGAGTCAATATAACGAATTGCGCAAAACATAAAACTACGCCTTTGTTCAGTCCATACTTAACATTTTTCCTGCTTAATCATTTACCTAATATATTACAAGTAATACTAATTCATGATACAGCATGATATTTTTTTATAGAATTAAAAACAAAGGAACACTTATTCGCCTAATATTAAGGAACTACACATGAACATGAACAATACTGAAAGAATTATATTTTATAGATACAGGATGATTTATAAATACTCAAACCAGTCATTAATTATATAAATTTTTGTTGACAGCCACGGCGAAGACTTGATCGTGACTCCGTTCGCGCAGGTATTGGCTAGTCTGCGCAGCGTTCGCAACAACTTCTTGTCCCTCACAAATGTACCCGTCGCAAAGTAAGTATATTTTATTAATCGATGCTATAGTTTATATGATAAAAGATGTTAAATAATAAGCTCACCTACGATGTTACCCATCATACAAAGTTATCAAAGAAGAAAGGGATAAGACGATATTGTATAAAAATAGAGAAGGGATATAAACAAGGCACTGAATAGAATGAAATAGGAACTAGATAGAGAATAAATTATTACAAAACGTGATTTATAAAATTTGTATTTGTTGTTTTTGATCTGTTATGAGATGATATCATTATATGATTGTAGACAATATAATTGTTCATGTTTCTCTATGCTCGACTAATAAGGAAAAACAATTAGTAGAGTCTCAATTTGTAAAGATAATCAATGTTTTATACATGTTACCTGTTAACAATAATAATATTGAGACGTTTCTTATTACGATATAGTATACAAGATCTTGAAAATATTATTATTTATATTGATACAAGTGATGTTAAATTCATAAAAAATAAACAAATTTTAGGAATTAAAACTTTTAATGACTCAGAAAAATCGTTAAAATGCAATCCATTCTAAGGTAAATCAATTTCAATTTTAATATTTTTAAAAGCTTTTAAAAATGTCTAACAAAGAGTAACGAAACTCTGCTAATAACTGGCTGGTATATTGCGTAGGTACAACACAATTTCCGCATCAACGCGGCGTCGACGTCACAGCTCGGCTACGTCACGCGCCGACATGATTCGTTAGAGAAAGAGCATTGTTCGCATTGCACGTTTTACGCGATTGCAATTTTACTTTTATTTCGTTTAGAACAATCGATTGCAAGCCTTTTTTGTATCGCAAATTAATTGTTATACTGTTTTCTATGAATAAATACACGGATTGTTGAAAAGGGTAAAATAAACATATCGAAATCGCTTGGTACTCCCCTTGTTACATAATTAATATTAATAATGAACGAAAAGTACTTGGTTACGGTCAGCCTTACGATGAATGAATTGCCTTAAAGGTCAAAGCATGTATCAGTCAATTGCTATTACAATGCGGACAATCTCAATCGGAGCAAAGCATGAAAGTCGTAAATGTCATTTATGACGTCATAAACGGAATTCCAAGACCTGTTCAAGAGTGATTGATAAAGTGAATTAGGTTCTATAAGGTATGAAATCGTGCAATCGCCTAGTCTATGCGTAAATACAAGTATTTTTTGCAATAAATTTTTGTAAAATTCAGTGTAATCTTTAAAATTTTGTTTTATAAATAAATTTCCTTATCAACATGACAAGTACAAGTACAACTTAAAATCAAGTATTCTTCCCTACTCAATGTCCACTTAGAAACTGCGAAACGGACCTTTGAATTAACGAAAAAAATCCTCAAAGAGAGCTTTCAGTTTTTACAAAGTAAATAATTTTATTGGACGGAAGCTTCCCCGCTCTAACCCGAGATGTTTACCTTTAATCTTTTAAGCTTGTTTATATATCTTGAATTTTATCTTTTTATTTTTATATTTCAAATTCAACAATACTTAATAATCTTTTAAGTATGATCTTGTTATCCTTCTAACTTAACATTTATAAAAATTATTAAGCTAAATGTTTGCTTAACCATGAATAAGTCGATAATGTTTTAAGCCAATCTTTTTGGTTATTTAGTTTTAAAATTTTTGCGTGTACTGTACAATAGAGTACACGTGATAGTAATAAATTTCCACGTTATTCAAATATGATTTTTGTATCGTTTCAGATCGCGGAGGTCCTCGGGGGTGGCTACGGCTGTTACTCCGCAGCCCAAAAACTTTAATCCAGGAGGTAAGAACATTTCTTTATACCTCATTAATATTAAAACATATGTAAAAAGAAATAATATGTAAACAGACCCTTTTTAGTCATCAGTTTTTTATAAAAGACATAGCATAGTATTCAGAAAGTACGCTTTTTATATTATTTGCGTTTAACATTTAAATTCACTTAGTAATAACGAGTTAAATGGTAAAATTTTATAAAATAACACTACATATTAACTGTTAAAAATCGATTAAATATAAGGGAAAATATGTAGTTTTTCTTTTCAACAACATATTTAGTAGGTATCCTATTTTATTACATGTAGTCTTACTCATATTATAAATGCTAATGTTTAGATGGAGGATGGATGTTTGTTTTAAGGATATAGATGAAATTTGACGTACATATAGAATATAGTCTGGAAGAACACATAGGCTACTAATTGTATATTTTTTAATTCCGCGCGGACGGATCCGCAGGCAACAGCTAGTATTTAATAGAGATGTTTATGAGCTTCATGTACTATTAAGTAAATAGGTTTACTCATTGACAAAATAGCATCGTTCCATAAAATAGTAAATAGCGGTCACTGGAACAAGAATAGCTTTGTTTACACTCGCTAAGTGCTGGCTAAATTGATAGCGTAACTTGCTCTTACGTAACTTATAAAAGAACCTTTTGCGATGAAAATGTTGAAATGTTATTGTTTTAGTTATTTCTATTAAGTGTCTATAGCTCACTTCCGCTTTATTCGACGACTATTTCCACGTGGGGTACTTCTTATAAAAATTGCTTTAGTTACATACCGACATTACATAGAAGATCCCTAAACCATTTATAAGTATTCATTTCCTAAACATCGTTATCCTAAAAGTTGTGGCCACGATAAAAAATGTTATAATATTTTTATGAACATTTAGTTCATTCCAAAATAATTGACCCTCAAAACGTTGAAATTTATTAAAGAAAACAATCATTGCATTTCCCAAAAGTCGTGTTTATCTTCAACCAAGAAATTTCGCACTTTTTCGTATAAAAATAACGCAAATTATTGAGCAAAAGAATGCAAACTCGCCATGACCATGCGTATATAAAATAGATATTTTAGAATACATCACTTGAACTGCGTGAATGAACCTGCTCTAGTTGAATATTTTCAAGAAACACCTGATTGTTGATACCATTCCTAGCATTCTGACTGACACTTGCCAGATAATAAACAAAGTTAAGTTACTATGACTGTTATTATTCTTGCGGTTATTTCAGACAATATGAATCAGGGGTGGCCAACTTGATTATAAACCCTGTGCGATTTACTAATTAGGAACTTCTTCAAATCTTAATGGAACAAAGTTCAATACTAATTTATTATCATATCTTATTAAAAGGGAAATAAAAGGTGAGAATTAATCTTAATTAACACCTAATTTATATTAGTGTGATCATTTCGTTTGAACACCTACCGCTACCTTATGTTTATCGCATTTATATATTTTGGGTTGCGATGTACAGGTTGGCAACCCCTGGTTTAAAGTAATATTTCTACAATGTTACAATCGAAACTTGGTCTATAACTTTACTTGAATTTATGGTTCATTTTAAAAGGTAAAGACTGTGCGCAATACATTAGGTTCAAATACTAATAATATAATATTTTTTTGGAACTTTACTATAAAAAAAACTATTTCCATATGCTTTATATTTTACATCCTATGTATTAGAATATATTAGTTTGCTAATATGGATTATTGATTACTATGAATGACTACAATAAATCATATTTAGTAGACAATCAAACAATTTATTCAACAACTCAAGATAACAAAATGAAAAACTTCTTCAGATGATTGATTAAAGAAATATGATTAGATTTTTATTTTCATTGCTTAAGTTCCTTGAAAGTAAAATAATCTTGAATTCAAAGACGATTTAGATACAGATAAAAGAAGTAAACAACGCCTTATCTATATATCATTATATTTATTAGATATTTTGATAATTTCTATCGTATAATTGACTACGGAATTATAATAATAATAGTTTACGCTTTTGTTATAATATCGCTGAAAAGCTTTAATCGAAAATTAAGTGTAGGACATTTAACACCAAGTTAGCATATTATATAATGTTAGAACCGACATTATTCTCAGAAACGCTATTGTATAAACTTACAAAAGCCTTCTCAAGTAAAGCCTAAAGTGATTTTGCCATCGTAGGTTTAACTGCTTTACTTTAGGATAGATGGCGCCACATGTCAGTTATTTACACGTTCAGTATAAATCAAACGATGATAATAATTATTTTAATGGCATATAAATTACAATTATGATTAAACAAAAACAGAATGTTCCGTTGCTTTGATTTAACAAAATATGAGTTGTAACACATTTCTAATTCGAAGAAAATGATTAAATTTATACTTTAAGAAATTATTTGAAATGAACAGGAAAACCTAATCAAAGTTCTCAGAACCTTCAAATCTTTGTCACTCAATCAACACACCATCATTGATTTATTATTTACGATAAGAATGTTTTGATGAAGTAATCTGCTTTCATCGACTTTTTGCGTGTAATATTATACAACGTTGAGTTTACTCACCCACTCTTATCAATTACAAATTGATTGTAAACAGACACTGACATGTGATGAAACCATCTACCTATATATTATTTATTTAAAACAATCTTGTTATAAAATATGTACATCAATTACAACTTATTTAATTATAAAAGAACTTATTACGTAATAATCTGATAAAAATCTACTTTAAAATATTATTAATTGAAAAAATAAAGAAAACTTCTCAGCTAAGAAAGACTGCATCGACTTTATCGCTAGCCTATAAAACTTGAAAGTAAACAGTTTAGTTTTTCAATTAAGCGCCTTGTTACTTTTAAACAATCTCGTCTAAGACCGGTCCAATAAAATAGCTTATTTCAAAGCTTTCCCCTTCGCCTTTAACGTAAATCAAGGACTTAGCAAAACTGTTTAACATACATTTTCCACTTTTACTCGAAGTTACTTTTAGAAAAGTTGGCATAATAAAGTGAAAATATTTAACAACTTTTGTACTCTGGATTTACATACGCAATAATGGAGGTGAATTTGAGTTACTTTAACGTTTTCTTATAATACATAAGTTTTATATTCGTAAACTTTAGATGATATAAATGATAAGATATTTGCACGATTTCTAAAATATCAAATTCATAGTAATCATATTAACTTTCGTTCTTGTACCCTAATACATTATTATTTGCTATCTTCATTATATTAGATAGTAAACATAGAGGAAAACCAAAAAAGTTAAGTTTAGCGGTAATTAAAATATCATCATGATAACAGTTAAAGTAAATTCAATAAAAAAGCACGAAACTTACTAAATGTTTTAACTATAGTACAACAATGTTTAACTAGATGGCGTTGATGTCAATCGAAAAATAACTATGTTCATATTCATATTTCTTATGTAGACACTGCAAGTTATTTATGTCTCTGTGTTATCGCTCTTTGAGTGCAAATTGAGAAAAGTAACTCCGTAGTCAAAGAAAAAGGCTAAATACACTACCATAAATTACTACATATATGTGTCTTATAAGACACATACCCAGTTTGAAGCCTTATTAACTATAAAGAATGTACGTAGTAAATTTAGACTTATTTTTAATGCCTAGTATTCACGTTGTAACTATACGAAATATATATGGTTTTGTTTCAAAACTTGTAAATTTTGTAAATTTATTGGTAATTTAAATTAGCCGATGTGTGTCTGAATCCGTACGAATCGACTTACTGATTAGACGGACATATTGGAAAATATACACAAGTCGTGACAACCGAATTGGCACGTGGCAATTAACGGCATCTGTTTACAGGTGACAACGACTAATAGCTTAATAGCACTTATTGTATAGTTGTGTCTTAAGACATGCTTTTGATGGTAGTGCGGTCAGTGTCGTTTCGATAAAAAAATGTGACTGTATTGTAAAGTTAAGTGAAATCTATTCTGTGTTTAATTTTTGGGCTTCGTAAAAGTTATTGTGGTCATATCTCAAAAGTAAGTAGATATTACAAGTATTGTTTTAATGTTGGCCTAAATTATTGGTCAGATAACTTGGACAATAAAAAGTTAAATCTCCATTATAAAATAATGCAATTAGCTCAGCAAATCAACGTTTAGTCTATCGCGTTTATCGTTGGTTTCCGAGACCAAAATCTATTTATAAAACATATCGTCATCCCTCTCATAATCATTGACAAATATGAGATAACAATATTTCTTTGGTTTCGAAAACTAAATTTAGAAAGCCAAACTAGGCACCTTTGTTTTATTTAATAACTACATATGTGTATGTAGTCATAAACTACGTCGTCTGCGATACATGACTTGCTTAATAATTGCCACAACGAAGTTAACGAACCCTTGTGATATTGTGGACTATGAAAACATAATATTTATATTACAAAATATATTTCAAGCGTACAATATCTCGTCATATTTCTATTTATTTAATTCTTGTAAACGCTGAATAAAATTAAAAAAAAAACAGTAATGTAAAAACGAGTATGTACTCGTATGTATAAGTAACATTATCTTCATATAAATTATAAGCTTTCGCTTACATGTTTTGTGAAGTGTGGAAAAATTACTAAATACGTAGAGAAACTATTGATTACTATTGAAAATTCTAAATAAAATATCGACAAAATGATTGATGAGTTTTAAGTGTAAAACTTTAGCGTACAAATTTCTCCGGAAATTATCTTTCGATAAATTAATTTTTACAAATCATCTGGCCATTATCAGATCGCGTCACGCTGTGACGTTACTATCTCACTCGATTCATCTTGATGACGTTACTGTAAACATTAGATATCAGTATTTATTTACAACTAGTGTAACATTAAACTTCATTCCTAAAAATGAGATTAGGAAAATGTTTTACATGACTCTAGTCGTTACATTCAATGTCGGCGACTCTCCTAACCAGGACCAGTCTGAATGAGCGCAAGCGCAACACTTTGTATTTTACAGCACCATAGGTAGTCTTTGAGTCAAAAAAATTGTTTGTTATTTTCAATACAACGTAAAATTTTCAATGCTGCGTAGTTTTAACTCTTCATTCAAAACTTCAATCTGAACATCTGTGATTGATGTGTTTGTCGAAATTCTTGTTTTGTCTAGAACATATTGCGTTTCGTCTATATTTTTCATAGTAAAATATAAACAATACTATTTATATATCATACGAACAGTGCCAATGGAAATCTTTTAACGTTCTGTTCAAAGCATTCTCAGCACTAGAAGAGATCTCTTTCATTATGAAACGATAAGTCATGTTTTGTGTGAATGCATTAATATTTCTGAAGCTCTCCCGCGGAATAAAGAGTTCATTGCTCTAATAAACTAGGTCATCTATTTATATGAAGAAAAACGACTTTTCTAGAATGTTTCCTCTTTTCATTACAGTCACAGAAACTTATTCTTTTTTATGAGTTTCTCGTTATATGATTGACATAAAACCAATGCCTTTTTGCCCAATTGACACAGGGGGGTAATATTTTTCGCTGGTATGTTAGTTTCTACGTGCATGGGTTCGTATTTAGGTAATTTTCGTTTTAAAGAACATATACGACTGGACAAATTCGTGTCATTACATTCCAGTTCATCCTCGAAGGAGATTAGTAAATCGTTTTTTCTTTAAATAGTGTTATAGTGCGCTTTTTATGTTTAAAAACAAACCATATTCAATAGATGAATGGATTTTATAAAATACTTTACATCTACATATCTGGTACAAATTAAATTACTTATTTGTTTCTTTAATTATCCAAACATGATTACTCTGTCTTTTGTTTTGTTTAAGACAATTGAAAAGAAATGTTTGTTATTAATCCTATACGATCACGCATTGTTTTCGTGGCAGCCACCGACTACTGAACGTAATCAGCGAAGGTCGTGTTATCAGGACCTCGTACGTACATCTTCGAATGAGAATATCGATTATTCTGGGATGTTATTTAATTTTTACTAGAACTTGGCATATGACTTGTGTACCGAGGATGACAAATCAACTCTGTTCTCTTCGTGTAATCTACCTATAACCTTATCATTGTTTAGTGAGTTAACTGTAATTTTTTAATGATCTTTGTATGAATTATGAAAGGGATTTTACTGTGTGAAAAATAGCAAATATTATATTCCATTTACTTAATCGTAATTTCAGGTTGTGTATCTACATATATGCCAAATTTCAGCTCGTATGCCCAGAATGACTCAACTTCTTTTCTAAACACTCTACTCAAAAGAATTTGAGTCGTTCTGGACATACGTAATAACAAACCTTTATCAATCTAAACTCTCACATTTTTAATATTAAATAGTAAAATGTATTAAAAACAAATACAATTACTGTATTGTATTACGTCAAAAATAATCCTTAGAATTTTATCAATCGCCCCATAAAAAAGTACAAAATGTATTATTATGAATATATTTTAACTACTAAGATAATAATTAATTTGCTTCAGGCATATTTGTGGGCGTTGAATCGCATTACACGAATGAACATAATTGCTAAAGCTTAAGAGTTAATATTAGATGAAAATAGCAATTTGTTTTCAATATTTTACTTTTTATTCATTAAATAAGAAGCTTTAGCGATGCCCGTAGGCGATATTAATATTTTCTTTCGTATTATATCGTAATAAAGCGAAATTTGATCTTTGCCTTAATCTTGAAACAATTTTCGTGAAACTTAAAACATTATAAAAATGATCTAGTCTCATGCCAATAAAATCTTACTTCGAATATTTGGATGGAGTGATGGATGGATGTTTGTTAGAAGGTATTTACAGAAGTGCTGCATGGATCTCGTTGAAATTAATTATAGACGTAGAATAAAGTCTAGAAGAACACAAAGGTTACTAATTGATTTGTTTTTTCATTTTGTGCAGACAGAGTTTTGGTCGTCAGCTAGATGCTATAAGCACGAAACTTAACAGGGAATGAACAGAGTATCATTCCCAGAATCATTTTAAAGAAAGAAGTCTCTGATGTCATATTTTATTATCGTAACCATAAATGAGTCTGTTAAAAAGTAGATCATATCAATATGTTTTTGCCACCAGTTGTGACATTAATTTGTCTTCTGTCATAAATATCAACATTCTGAGACCAAAGATCATTAAAATCTTCGCTTTGTGTAATTAATACTGTCAATTATAAGATCTTGTTTCTTTAGTGGTATCATTTACAGAAAGCAGATCACCTTTCTTTTGTCGCTCTCGTTTAAGCTTTAGTTGAAAAAATGTTAATTGTAACACAAATTACTGCAGTCAATAAAACGGAACGTGATTAAACGTAATTACAAAACATTTCTGTACGATTTATTGAAATTTTTAACGATTTTTTTTTCTTTTAGTACCAGGATATTGCAAATTGTTCAGACATTAATTTCATCATAGTTGATTTAAGGTTAATTATTCCTTAAATATCAGTGTAATCATTAAACGTATTTTCCTGAACATAAATTTATTTGTATGTTGTTTACGTATAGTTTGTGTCAATGGGTTATGACTGGAGTTCTGAGATTTTAAAGAAATGTACTATGAATTTAAATGAAGGCGCATCTTTTAATAAGTAGTCATATATAAGACTAGTAAATCCTTTTTATTAAAAAATAAACCTTTATACTAAATGTATTTTTAATTATTTAAAAGTTTTTTCTTTTGCTCGTCTTCAAGCATAAGTAAATTAATGTATGCATACGCTTGAGTTACTTCGCATCTCTTTCATGTTTGAACTGGCGCTAAAGCGGATATTTTTAGAATCCAATAAGTTTTTCTCTCTAAACAAAAATTCGAGCGACTACTTGAAAAGCTTATATGATGAGTTTTTCAATTATAAATACTTTTTAAATAGAGTTGAATGCACTATATAATATTTTTATAACTCTGTTATATTGTTAAACTATAAGCTCACCTAGTTACGCTACAAGTAGGATGTAAAAATGAGTTTATAAATATTTGAAAGAATCTTAAATGGAGTAACATGAATACAATTTATACTTTTATCCCTGATTTAATAAGTAGCTTATATATTCTTCCAGACTATGGTACATCTATGCCAAATCACATAGAGATCAGTTAAACTGTTCTTGAAATACCTTCTATTAAACATCCATCTAAACATTCGCATACGATACTAGACTATTGCAAGAGTTCATCAGCGTTATGTTGGTAATTAGCAGCTAGTTTACTTGCTTTTGAAATGATGAATGTTTGGAACTGTTTTTAAATTGTATATTTTTGTTTGTTACAGACGAAGCCTACATGAAGCTAGCATTGGAGACCGTTGAGGAGTTGGACTGGTGTTTGGATCAGCTGGAGACTATTCAAACACATCGGTCCGTGTCCGATATGGCGTCTCTTAAGGTTAGACTCATTATTATTTACTGTAGAGACGTTATTTAACTAAATCTCTCCGAGTACAATCGTATATTTTATTCGTAGCTTAGATGTAATAAAAAGTATTAATACAAAGTATTTGGTAAATAAAATCTATGACAACTATGAACTTTTAATGTTCACAAGTTTTGTTGTAAATTTCAACTTGTGAAATGTAATTTTTTTTTATGTGGAAATAACATTTAGTTTATTCCACTTTAAATATTTTCAGCGAAACGTATTTCTGTATAAAAATCCCACTAAGGATTTTTCCAATATTATTATCCTGTATTTAGAAAATACGTTAACAATTTTATCTTCGTGCGTCAGACGTCACAATCAAGACAGAAATCTAAAGATTAATTTTGAAATCTCGGATTCATAATACACGTTCAATAAAAGATATTCGATCTTCTTATATATTAATATTTAGAGTAAATAGGGTGTATTTAACATTTTATTTTAATAAATATCATACTACATCAATTAGCTACACTATAATAGATTATTTATTACAAAGGCCGTTAGACAGCAAATTTATTAGTTGTTAATAAAAACAAGCGTCACTAGACTCGTGCATATTTGGCGCCAAATCAATGCCGTGTATTCCGCGTACTAAACTGTTTCGTAATGTAGAGTGATGGATAAGTACCACGAAAAGTATGTTTATACGTAGATTAAAGCAAAATGTGACTTATCCAAAGTTCGTTATATCGATCATCACAGCGGGTAAACATCCGCCACAGATTGCATTACCAATTACAACGTTACTCATATACTAAGGAAAACGTTTTACGTATAATATCTACAAAGAAAACTGAGGCAAAATTCCCCCGTTATGAAATGTCTTCATTATCGATTTACTTCTTGGTTGAATATTTAATTATACCTCATTCAGTAAAGGGTTTTTCAAAATAGTCTATGGGTCTTTTGTCTATTGCGTGTTAATAAGTAGTCTAGTTTTCAGACTTTGGTACCTAAGTCAAACTCTACTTTCTTTATCGTTTTTGCTAAAACTCTCATCCGATAATTGTATTTCATATTTTGTGGTGCGACAAATACATATATCAATTTATTTATCAATTATAAGAAAGTTTTGATTCATAGTTGGAATTTAGTTTTAATACGGTAACTACACAATACCCAATTATAATAACTGCTTCAAACTACATAGAAAGTAAAAAATAACGTTTAATTAATTTTCCTTTAAGTCCGAACGGTGCCCATGTTAAGGTGCCATTTGGATGACGAATAGGAAATTAAAGAACAGTATCAAAATGATGTTATCGATTGGTCTTAAATCTTTGCTACGGGATCTGTGACTTATGTATAATAGTTACCTCGGTTTTTTTTGTTTATGTAGTTAATCCTTCTTCATCGCTATTGTTAATTGTAGTGTAAATCCGTTCTATTTTCATCACAATCCGAGATTACGCGCCCATAATGAAATGACGAACGAACTATACAGCAAGTAAACATCATTGCAGCTTAAACGAGGCGCTTATTTGCTATGAGATTTGCACCACGCACGTCTGTGGAAAGTTACTGGCAACAGCCGTCACGAACCGAAGCCCGCAATAATATTAGCGGGCGGTCTGTTTGATTGCCGCTATATGAGCTAAAGCCTTCAAATACCACATGGGGCTAAATAAAACACTATCATCCACACACGATAACAAAAATAGTGAGATAAAAGTAATAATAATTTGTTTTATCTCTAAACTATTTTATATGTATTTTCAAATAAAAATAAATAAACATACAAGACTCTCTTGGTCCTAAAACTGGAGTAGATTAGGGTGAATATCGATAACGACGAAACGAATAATAGTTTCAGTTTATTACACCTAACAAAAGAAACTAAAAGTCACAGCATATAATGCTTAAATGTATGGAACAAAGTTTTGATTATTGTGTCTTCTATTCGTACCAATTCCTAAATCTGATGTGACTCTTGTACGTACTAAGATGCTTATTCTATTTCCTTCCATCATCACGAGGAAATGTGTACATTTTGTTGGTATGTTCGTAACTCAAGGTTAATCACCTTAAGACAAAGGAATAGTGTCATACAACTTTTCTTATAGCTCGATGACTCAAATTCTACTTTAATATGTCTAAAAGAATTCTGAAATCATTTTCATGCTAATTTACTGTATTACTACATTTCTTGATTTTGGTTGGGAAAATATAAATTCATTGTTATTTCTTAATTTTTCGATAAATATTCTATTTAAAGCAAAATTAAATGTTTTTTTATTTATTATAATTCTCATGAATATCCTCCAATTTGCGTGAAGTAGCTTAGCGTTTGATTTTGTTTTGGTCGCGTTTTCGTCGAACATCAATAAGAATAGCACCTCTCAGACAACAAACTTTTAATGACTTTCCGGAAAGTCCACTTTGGCACCGAATTTATAGACGTTTCAGTTTTGAAAATTATCTCAAATGATGTCTCCCTGAACACTGCGTAGGTGTTTCTGATGAAATAAAAAGAGTACTACGAAATTTTACTAAATATATTTTTGTATTTACATAATTTATCTCTCGGTTTACATAAGTAAATTTATTTTTACATAATATATTCTTTACTTAACCCTCTAAAAGAGCAGCTTATATTAATAAATTTCTTTAGTTAAAGAAAGTGTGAAATGATTTCAAAGGACTATCACATGATACGAGTATCAAAATTACATTTAATGTAACTAAGACCTTATTATTTGTTGTTTATATTTGTATACTTTTTGTTCAAGATGACATTTTTTCATGTCGCAAGAATCCCTATTATATACGTAGCAGAACATTCAACGTTTATAAAACAGGTTAATGTTCTGTCAAGGATTTTGAACCTAGGATTTCTTACATGATTCTCCGCAGCTATCTATGTGACAACTGCATTGTAACTTTGTTGCATTGCATTTGCACAACGAAATGTGCATGCGTGTTACACCAGCTTTTGTTTTGTTGCGACGTACACGTTGAATTATAACAATTTGGAAAATAGGTATAATAAATTACAATAAGTAAAAAACATTTCATTTTTCTCTAATAATATATACTCCTTAAGGTTTAGAAGCAGTGTGTGCAATATTTTATTAATGTTAAAATATAAAATTACGTCTCATTACTATCATTTAATTGCACGAGATAATACTCACGTACATCCGAATGACTCAAACTAAGAATACTCACAGATTAAGGCAACATGGCCGTGAAACTTTTTTATTCTAATTAAAACACTTTATATGCAAAAACTTGTTCGAATTCCACTTTTACTGTTTGCTAATGTCAACGCCAGCAATATGCAAGGTTGTTAACAGCCTAATGATAAATGCAGCTAACGTCACAGTGACGCATTACTCAAAATATTACACGACTCAGCCCATTAATGTAAAGTTTTAGATAGCCGTAATTAGATCATAAACTGAACGTCGCTCCTTGATCTATCTTTTATTTATTTATGCATTACGTTATCTCTACTGGAATAGAATCGATTTAAGTTTTCTCTTGACTCTATTGAAAAATCTATTAAAATGTTTTTAACTTTATTTTAAGCTTTGATCCCGATTTGCATGCAAGTTTCAAATATGTTTCGCATATTTTTTTTATTATCTTTGAAAGGTAAAAAAATACCGTTTTAATTTCACACATGTATTGATTTCTTCATTGATAGAAATTAGATTGTCGTTATGATTACTGCATATCCAAACGGTACAGTCATGTTGACATTAGAGACCAACGCCGCAAATCATTTCGCAGAATTAGTTATTTATATTATGACAATTGTCATCTTTACCATATGCATAATCTATTAGCACCGGTATTCACCTGTGGGAATATAAACCATTTTATGAAACATTTGACGTCACTATTAAATGTCACGCATCAACATTTTTTCTTTTTTTAGAAACTGAAACAGTCAGTGTTAACTTACTTACTAAATTATATTTACATCTCGCCATCAGTGACGTTGGTACTACATTCAAGTTTTAGAAAAAAAACATAACGCAGAATTCCACACTATAATCATAACTCAACCCAATTTGCACTTTGTATGTATTTGGTTTATACTATTGTTAGAATTCACTTGAAGTGTACTCGTATTTTCTGCTGCTATATGTCCCCATGGACGGGAAATTACCTTACACATGTATTTGAAATTCTTTGCCGATGCGAAAGTTATATCACGATGTTTTTCTTTACCGTACCATGGTCGGATAAATGTCCATACGAAACTTGAGAATCGATACATTGCTAGGTATCGAACCTGTACTCATTTCAGTCCAGTCCGGTCAAATGTTTAACAACTGTATCACAGACGCTATTGCGTTTACTTGAATTATAACTGAGGAAAATTACAATTCATATTATTCCACGTTATTTACCAGTTCCTCCTTATCTAAAGTTGGAAATATACTCCGCTGTTCATAAATTTACTTTCAATGGTTTTATTCAATGATCATAATTATTATTAATAATTACACATCTTATTTCTTACACCTTAATTAGATTATAAATGCGAATGTTTGAATGAATGGATTGATGTTTGTAAGCTACCAATAAAGTTTTTTTAATGCCACGCAAACGAAATCGCGGGGTATTCAATATAATCAAAAGAAATTCGTTCACTTTCATGACTTAAATTGATTGTAATTCCATATTAGAGCATATAAAACTCAACTAAAACTGTTGTCCTTTTTCTCAATTATGCATCGAACTTGATCATCTTACTATACAAATAATTATAATTCTCGTACACACGCTGATGTCCTGTGGTATATGTACTTCCCCTGAAATCTGTTTCTCATTTACGCAACATGATGACATAAGTCTGCATCTAACGCCTACTTACAGTAGTTACTTCTCACAATAAAATTTTAGTTGTTTATTTATCAAAGAAATATTCAAACTATTATTTTTTATGTCGAGACTTGAACAAAGTTTCTGTTTTAATGTAACTCTCTAATCAAAATTACGAAAAAGTATTC